ATTTAGTCCAGAAGAATATGAAATATTAAAAGAGACATTGAAAATGGCTGAAAAGGAAAGAGATCTTAAAAAATAAAGTTAATGATTTAGAAAAAGATAGCGAGAAAAATAAAGATATCAATACAGTTTTTAATAAAGATCAGCAAAAAGCAATTGTATATGGTACAAAAGGTTCCAAGTGGTCAGATGGAACAATTAAAAAAGGATTGAACTTGCATTTTGTATGTGAATCGCATGGTTATAATCAGATAATTAACTTGTTGCTCCATTTCCTTCATTGAGAACTTTAAGAAATAAGATACAGCACATTAAATTTGAATCAGCAGCCTTATTCTTGAACACATACGAAAATAAGAGTTTCTCGACTGTGATTGGCCAATTATATATGGAATTACTATTTCCGTATGTGATATTTATTCAAGAATAGAGCCCCAGAATATTTGAAAATGTTTTTAAATATCTGCAGTTGATCATTCTTCATATTTCACGTACATGGAAAATCTGTGGACTAGTATTTGATGAAATGGCAATTAAAAAGTAGATTGATTTCGATACAAGTACAAAAGCAAAGTATTGGAAATGTAACATTGCCTACAATACAAATAAATTGACATGTAAAACTTTACTTTTCCAAGTCCAGTTTGGACTTGGTTTTTATTGGAAACATGTAGCTTACCACTTTACTCCTTATCTTATTCAGTAAATGATGCAATGATGCAATTAAAGAGATTATTTTAGAATACTCCAAAAATGTCATCAAGATAGATTTAAAAATAATTATTTTGGTTTGTAATATGGGAAATAGAAGATTGCTCATAAAATTAGAGTTTAAAATTACAAAGGCAGATGGTGTACACTAGAACACATCCTTGCGGTACAGAGATCATGTTAAGCTTGCGCCACACGATGTTTGTTTGTGCCGCTGGCTTTTGATTTCATATGTAAAGGATATCCTAAGCCAACAGCTCTTCAGTTCAAATACAGATCACCCATATTCATAGTCCTTCCTTATTTTAAGGATGAAGGAAGTCTCCATGAAGGATTTCTCGATTCTTCAAGGCCTCCTAGTTTCATAAACTAATCTCAAGTCTGCCTTCCCGAAGGAAGAAATATTTTAAGGATTTTACTACTACTGAAAGCATATAATATAGAGTGCGTTCAGGGAGACACTATTTGCGCTGGATGCAAACGCTAATGCTGTTTTTGGAGCCAATAGTGCGATAGCATTAGCAAGCTCCATGAACGATCCTAGAGTAGCGTTGGTAGACTAGAAAGATATATTCGTTGAAGTTAAGTTAATGTAGGAGATTCTGTTTTCAATCACTAAAGTTTTCCCTATAATTAAAATTTTTAAGATTTTGTAAAGTATTTGTAAAGTAAAAGTTGTAAAGTATTAACGTAAATTTTTTATTTTCTCGTAGTGAATAACAACGTAATCTCAGTTGCAATCTCTATGATAGCTTGCCGCTAGGCCGAAGTGAACAATGTAGAAACTAGATCAAAAAATTAATAATTACACTAAGTAAATTAATTAGATAAAAGGAAGAACCCCTCCATCCTCGATTATCGATTTCAGAAGAAGAAGCTCTATCTAATAAAGATCTTAAACATCTGCAGCGGAATACCCTGCCGCGCTATACCGCAATAGTAACTTTTTTCCGTACACGGGAATTAAAAATTGCCACTAACAAGATATTTCTGACTTTCACTTTATAATGAAATCAAATACACAAGTTGCACTTTGCAGAAACTTTGAAAAGTTAAAGATGATACACAAGCAAGAATTACGTTCACTCCAGTCTAGTAGCAAGCCATCAGCAGAGATTAAAATTGAGATTGCATTCATTATGATAAAATTTGAAATTCATACATTACGTACGTACATTTACTCTACGAAATTCTAAGAGAGAAAAGTTTGGTGAGACTCGAGAATAGAATCCCTTAAACATTATATATAATCCCTTAAACATAATCTAACTTTGACGTTGTTAAACGCTACCAATGCTACGCTAAGATCGTTCACAGATTTGTAAACGCTAACGCTACCGATACACTACCTCGGCAGAAATAGCGTTGATAGCGCGCAGTTGTGATGTAACATGCTACCATTAGTGACGTCATGATAGTTTGTTAGCGCTATCTGCAGCTCCGCGAACAGTTTGTAGCGCTAAATAGCGCGAATAGCATTTTCCCGAACGCACTCATAATATATGCAAACCTAATATCGTGAATTATGAATAATAAAGATTATAAAGGCATTGTTGATTAAATAAAATCGTGATTAAGCATTTTACAACAATAATGGACAAAAATAAAACTAATAGCGAATTCGATTGGACGTACTAAGTGCGCACTGATGCACATTAAAACCGCCGTACATACCAGATGTAGAAGCTTAAATCCGCTGTTTTTAATCAGAAAAACATTATTTTTTCCTAGGAAGCAAAAATAAATTTATTCAAAGTACTTGCCATCGCTAACTATACATTTTTCCTATCTTTCGGGCAATTTGTGTATACCACGCCAAAAAAAATCCTCATCTTTTGAGACAAACCATTCATCAAGCTATTTTCGGACATCTTCATAAGAATCGAAGTGCCGCTCAGCGAGCGCGTGGCCCCATCGACGAAAACAGGTGATAGTCAGAAAGTGCCAGGTCTGGTGAGTAAACGAGATGGGATAGCACTTCCCAGTTGAGTGTCTCCAAGTAATTTTGGACCATTGTTGACGTGTGCGATGGTGCGTTGTCGTGGAGGAAAATCAGCTTGTCATGTCTTTTCCGATAATGCGGCCTTTTTTTACGCAGAGCACGGTGCAATTTGATTGTTGGTGGTAGCGGTGAGCATTAACAGTTTCACCAGGTTTTAACAGCTCGTAGTAGATGATACCCTCCTGATCCCATCAAACGCACAGCATCGTCTTCCGTCCGAAGCGATTTGATCTTGAGTGATCTAGTTGGGATCAACCCAAGATTTCTTGCGTTTAGGATTCTGAAAATAGATCCATTTTTCATCGCCTGTCACAATGCAGGAACGATTTTCTTTTTTATCTGCCAAGCAGAATTTGGCATATGTTTTGGCGTCGCTCCATCTGCCTATCGTTCAATTCATGCGGCACCCATTTTTCGATCTTTTGAACCTTCCCCATGTAGCCGCATGGAAATGGCTGCTTGAGAAACACCCAATTGCTCAGCAAGCATTTTTTGCGATTGGATATCGTCCTCGTCCAAAAGAGCCTGCAATTGACAGTCCTCAACTTTCCTAGGCCGATTTTCACGCTTCTTGTCATTCAGGTCAAAATTGTCGTCATTGAACCGGCGAAATCAATCTCTGCACGTTGTTTCCGATAAAGCATTGTCGCCATAGGCCTCCACAAGCATTCGATGCGATTCGGCAGCCGATTTCTTCAAATTGAAACAGAAAAGTAAAGCTTCCCGCATATGCTTTTTTTTTTAGCAAAAAACTAGACATGATTACGAAAAAAAAAATGTATGTTGTTGCATGAAATGATGATTGCTGATGATGTGCACTGGTTAATGGACAGATGTCAAACACATAAAAAAAAATGTATTGTGCCCAGAGTAGCTTTGTACGTTCACTAATGCTACCTATGAGCAAACAGCGGATTTATAACGGATAAGCTTATACACCTGGTACACAAAATAACGTAAATATATGTTTATAAATAAACATAAAAATCGATTATATCGTGAAATATTCAATAATGCAATACATTTTATTGCACTATTAGATAAAATATGTATTTTATAATTCAAGATATTTGCATTTTGTTTTTATACTAAAATTAAATCATAGTACAACAGCTTTAATATGCATCAGTGCTTCCAATCGAATTCGCCATAATGTTTGTTATACGAAGGAGAAAATGCTTTTGACACAATTTATTTACGAAAAAAATGCTATTAAAAATAATTACCGATGTGACAGAATCGATGTAAATTAAAAGCTAAATCAAAAGTAAA